AAAGAAAAGAAAAAAGGAGACATAACGAAAATATAAAGCAAAAATAACGGAAGAAACTACCGCGGTTGGGAGCCGCTTTTCCGACCATTAGACATTGTGCCGATTTCATCGAGAATTTCCGTTCAAACCGCCTCTGTTAAACAAGGAGAAAGAATATCATCTATCTTTCCCGCATCGGGTCGGATTATAACGTTTGAATCTGAAAGTAACATGTAAAAAGATAATACTGGGGCTTACATACACGCTTTTCCAACCATTAGACATTAAGCCGATTTCATCGAGAATTTCCGTTCAAACCGCCTCTGTTAAACAAGGAGAAAGAATATCATCTATCTTTCCCGCATCAGATCGGATTATAACGTTTGAATCTGAGAGTAACACGTAAAAAGAAAATACTGGGGACTGATTTTTTTGAGCGTCGAATATAAACGTCGCGATATCCCTGATTTAATCCCGAGGGAAATGATCGAGGCCCTATTAGAGTTTTCCATGTTTACCCCGATAATAGCAATCCTTTGAGCGGAGGCTTTCCATAAACAAAGTCGAGGGTCGCCGAGCCGAGCTACGTGATCCGCGACACATACCGCCGAAGGCTGGCGAGTTATTTCCAGCGCGTCAATTATGGTTAAACCGAGTTTAAATCGCGACACGCAGGTACGCCGGGGATCAATTTAACCGGATAGGGATCCGTTTCAATTTTTGAGAAGCCAAAGAAAGGGCCAAACCCTTTCCCGCCCTTTCCTCGGAACGCTCCAAAAAGGATTCGGAGAACATTTCCGGGACCTACTCCGAACATCCATAATATACTTTACCAGTGAAATGGAAAATATAAAATGTATAATTAAAAGCGCATAAATGAATGTTGGTACGTATCTGTATTTTAATTAAAAAGTTCCGTGCTCGAACGACTCGACTTTGCTTCACGAAAAAAAAAGAAGAAATAACTCGGATGACGCGTAACAGGGATTAATTATTTGTCGTTGAAATTACTCATGGCCTGACGAAATTAATTCCGAAATGAAACAGAAAACCAATCTGACGAAACGTGAGTCACTTTCTGTTAGAACGTCGCCTTTTCGCACCTTCGCTCGCGCCGGAGGGACCTATCACCCTTACGTAACCAGGGGGCTAAATGTCAGATAATGATTTATTTATTATTTGTTTTGACGACCGATAATGCGACGAGAGTCGCGACCTATTCCTAAGGATTGAGCAACCGACCTCTGGCAAAATCGAGCCGAGACGAAATAGGCAACTCCGAGCATCGAACTGCGCAGAAAGCCGATCGAACGTCCCGTGATTTCATTTCCCCGAAATTTCACCTTGCTAGGGAATTATTACGAAATCGGACATCGACGAGATAAACACCTTAATTTAATCCGGCGAGTCCCGATAAGGTCCTAGCTCACATTTTTACGAGGCCCGTCGGACAAATTCCGCCTAGGCTATCCCGCGAAATAAATGTCATTGACCCAAAGAAATATTTTGTTAACGCGAATAAATAATTATTCCCCTCGAATAAATCGGAATTATGGAACAACCTCGAGGATGCTTGGAAGAGGAAAGCATCCTTGAGTTTGTTTGACGAAAGTACGAAGCGATCATAGCCTCGGGTGGGAATCGAAAACGACAAAAATGATTTAAACCTTTTCGATGATTTTTCAGTCCGAAGCTTCACGGATACGCTGGACGATGTCACTTCACCTTGCCGGCTTTATTCGCAGTTCCTCGCTCGCCCGGCCAAAACTCGGCACTAAAATATCTCGAAATTTCATTTTATAATTGACACGTCGAAACGCGTCCGAGGACTCTCCCCGCAGGATTGAAAACTCGGGGCAAATTACGAAAGGACCCGAGTCGGTCCGGAAAAACCCGAAGGGGACAGCGTAGCGCTCTTTGCACAGATAAGGGGTGGAGAGGGGAGGCATCGCAGAAAAGTCGTAGCCCAAACACCGTTCAAACAGATATTCCTCCCATCCAGGAGAATTTTTTCTTTTCGTCTCAGCGTATAGAGCGTAAGTCGTAGTACCGAAGCTCGTATGTAGGTCAGGGACGGGTACGGAACCTCAGCTTGCACGTAACTCGAAGTCCGAGATTAAATTAGGTTACCTATTTCGTTGGGGGCTCGATTTTGCCAGAGGCCAAGCTCGAGCCGTTCAATCGGCGGGTAAGGTCGGAAAATTCGACGAAACAAAATCAACGTAAACGAACTGCATCAAAACTCGACGGATATTAATTTTTCCGGAATTTCTCCGAGAAAGGATGACGAAATATCTGAATAATTTGCGCGGCCAGGGTCGTTGAAATTCTTCTGGCACAAGTTGGATATAATACCCTCAACCGTGAATTTTTTTTTTTCTTTCCTCGACGTAAGAATCGATTTCATACAGGCATCTAAAATACTCGAAATTCGGCTTCCAGGGCGAGGAAAGAAAAAAATACAAGTCGACTTAAAGGTGAACAGCCATTCCGCTGCGCAAATCGCGATACCCTCGGAAGTTCATCGTTAAAAAGGGGGTCAATTAACGTCGCAGATACGAAACTCGGCGAAAAGTACGATACGCTCGCACGCGCGTTTAACCATTAACCATCTGATGCAACACCTAAGGCGTTTTGCAACTGCATTCGGAATTTCTCCTGGCGATATCTTAATTGAGGAAATCGCCGATAATAGGAGCGTGTGTGGCCTCGTTAATTTCCCTCTGCCGTTACCTGGCGATTCCTTACTTTTGCAGTGCACAGTTATTTATCATTAACCGCGGGCACCCTAACCGCTGATTTTCGTGTCAATCGCCTCGTTCGATCTACGCGTCATAAATTATCGCCGGTCATAACGGAGGCTCGCTCGCGTATGATAAATAATGTCAACGCCGTTATGAGAAATCTAGGTGCACGATGCGCACATACACCGCAATGGGCGGATTTTTGCATAAATAAAACTACGGGACATGATCACAGAGCAGCTTCGAATTGGTATCGAGATAATTTGCGTAAATATTCTCGTTAGGAGGATTGCGTCGTTCCTTCATTTAATTATTAATATTTAAAGCGAATAAAAAAAAAGAGTAGAAAGTCTTGCGAGACATTGTATTTTCATTTTTTAAATTTTTCACAGAATTGCAGAGAAAAAAAAAACTGCACGATGGATGAGCATTGATGATCATAAATAGAAGTGAAGTGTGCATCATGGACCACAGTCGAAATTCACTGAGAAAAATATATATAGAGTTGAAAATTGAGTTATCAGGGTCGCAAGACTTTCGACGAACCGATATAAGAGTTACAGGGAGACAAAGAACGCAGGTCGTGGGGAAACTTGCGAAAATATTTCACGTCTTGGCTCGGGAGGACGGTCTAAAGTTAGTACCGAAATGTAGGCTCTTCCTTGTTTTACCGGCGTTATCCCGTGTTTTTTCTTTTACTTCTTGTACATTTTCCAGATAGTTAAGACCGGATTCCCATGCCAGCGTGGCGGCAAAAATAGAAGGAGCCGACTTATCAGCCGGGTATATTCGAAACACGCAGCAGAGGAGCTCGGGAATTTATTTACGTTGGTCCCACGAGTGCCGATCGACTGCTAATGAAGCGACTTATGCTCCATTCGTGTTGCAAAATAGGAGAAAGAAATCACTCCCTCCGTTTCATACCTTCCCGAATGGCAGATGCCGCAAAATCAATAACCGGGAGATGCATCGATAAACTTACTTCGGGTATAAATAAATAAAGGAGCGTTAAGGAGCGCGGAGTGTAGGGAGCGCTCGACCCACCGGGACTTTCACTTTTCATTTTTCAAAATGTCCACCTTTTCCTCCAGCAACCGTCCCCGTATGCGTCAAGGGGGTGGAACGTTTCGTTCGCTGCCTTCTAATTGTAGTTTATTGCCAGGGTACTCGAGGTACTGCAAGGAATCGTTGCGTTTCAAGTCCAGCCTCCGAAGTGGCTCGAATCCCCTAAGGATTGCACCGATTCGCGAACTGCCTACGAAAGTGGTATTTAATTCAACTGAAATTTCTCTTCCCGATGTTTAAGAAACCAAATTATGTCGTGTTCGTATTTTATTTATAACGAACTTTAAAGTTAACGCGTTAAATAAATGCATACAGTTCCGTTTTCAAATAATTTACGTTCCGTACAAATTTCGCGACGTAAGATACCTAGCAATTTATTGTAAGAAGATACGTAAATTACCTAGGATATTTTACTTACCCAACTCCACTCGTGAGACGCGGCGACGCCTCGTGTATACACATGCAAGATGGCCGACCGGCGTCACGCCGCGGTTCGCACTAATGTAACACCGTTTACTTAGGTTCTCACCCAGGAATAATGTTTTCCTTCCCGGTCGTAAACGGCGTTCCTTCGACTGAATAAACATTTGCATCATAAACGTTGCATCTGCACGAGAATTGCTTCCCGCGAAAACTATGAGTCAACGCGGTCAGATCGGGTCACTGGAAACTGCCTCATCGCCATCCCCACCCAACTCGCCTGGAGACCGAGGTCTCTCTCGCACTCCCTATGCAGGTAGCGGCATATACGCGAGAAGTAGCGAGACTCTCAACCGGTCCCCTTACCTCCGCCCTCCGCGCAAATGGACCGTTCCGAGGCACGCGGTCGCCACCGTAAACAAGACGCAATTACAAGATGGCCGCCGAGCACATGCGGTTACTCCGTATTTTTTTTTTAAGAAACTTTGGCTTCCCAGGTTCTCCCGACGCGGTTATCCAGTGACCTTGGCCTCTTTATGCATGCACCCTCGGCAGAGAGACGCACTTCTGCCTACTTTTCGCAAAATTACCATGAAATAACTCACCTTTTCCGGGCCGGCCATTTCGACGCACACGGATACTCATCGCACACCTCACCCCACGTAACGATCTGGGCGCTCCCGCGCGACTCTCGATATTCGATCAGTCGTGAAATCGAATCGCAACCGCTCGTTAACGAAACATCAAATTACTGCAAATTACTCCCGATCGTTATCGCGTTAAACACTGTGTCTGTCGCATTTCCTTCTTTTGTTAGGGGTTTTCCAATGAATTTCTCCTGCGCAACTGAAACCCCATTGTATTTTTCATAATGGCGGGCTTTCGGGCCGTTCAACCACGTGATCCATAAAATGCGATAGCAGTAATTGTTTATCGAGATTGTTCTTTAAACATGTATTAATAATACTCGTTGGATATTAGTTAAGAAGATATTCGTTTGTCAAAAGTGATATAATTACCGATTCACGCATTTTTTTTAAATTTATTAATGATAAACAGAAACTTAAAGTTGAGGAGTGATGTAGCATCTCATCTCTGGATGTAGCGAGAGTAATCGACTCTTGGATATCGATTGAGGTGCGTTCGTTAACTTCGATTTTTCCGATGTCAGAGTGACTCGTGTCGTCTGCTCTCAGAATTTCTGGCCGGTATTACGTGAGGTTATGTGTAAACGTTTCGATCGTACTATTCTTAAGATGACTAAATTATTAGCGTTTGCGTGATAACAATCAACATAAACGATGTTGTTTATTAGAAAAGGTTTACGTATTGCGCAATGCTACTCCGGTAGATGCAAGTGCAATACATCGAAACTGCAAAATGAGTTGAGGTTATGTCAGACCAATAATGAGAGAACTTCGCGAGTTTTGCATTATTCTACTGCAAGGAAAGTTGAAAGGGATTCAGAATTTCTTGTTCATGAATTAGATCCTAGAGTGGAAAGAATAAAGGACAAATTATTGTACAGTGATTACGTGGAAAGTAAGAAACTTAAGTTTGGGTTTCGACAGAATAAGGCATTTCTAAATAGACTACGAGCAGAAAAAGAAAAAAAGAAATTGCAAGAGTTACGGTATAAGCCTGTGTTAAGTGTAACGTTAGAAAATATGACTGGTGGTGATATCAACGTTCCCCTAAAAAGTGCATTTGACGAGACAGTTACTGTTCCATCGAGTAACGATAATGCAAAACCAGTTCATATGCCCTATGCAACTTCTGACCAATATCAGACCATAGAGCCTGTTGAGGCACCTATTGAACCGGAAGGCCTACAAAAACATGACGATTCGTCTCCTTTGAACAAAAAATACAAAATACTTTATGAAAAATATTTAGAATTAACGGATGTAGAAAATACAAAGAGTAATAAGATGAAAAATGGTCGCACTGCTGCAATTGCTCATACCTTACGAGAACGTCTAATGGATGATGCATCAATGGCACCGGATGATTGGCTAAGTGATTATGATCATTACGTGGAACCTATGGATAGTGATGGTTCATGTGGATTAAATTATGGAACTCCTGATCCAAAATCAAAAGTTAGTTCTGTACCTTGTGGTGGATGTGGTGCATTACTACATTGTAAGGATATTGCGATTCCTGGTTATATACCATCTGAACTGTTTAAGGGACAAAGTAAGAATGTCCTTCGAAGTATAACATGTCAACGATGTCATTTCATGAAAAATTATAACATAGCACTAGACGTTAAAGTATCTCCAGAGGAATACCCTAATTTATTAAAGGTAATAAAAGGAAAGAAAACTGCTGTAATTTTGATGATCGATCTGATGGATTTTCCCTGTAGTATATGGCCTGACATAGTGTCAATTATTGGTCACAAAACTCCAATCTTCGTAGTAGGAAACAAAGTAGATCTGTTACCTCGCGATTCACCCAACTGTTTGGAACATGTTAAAAAATGTATAGTGCAATCCATGAAGAATATAGGAATTAATAAAGCAAATATAAAACACATTGCACTGATATCAGCAAAGACTGGTTACGGAATAGAAGAACTCATAAATAAGCTTCACAAAATATGGGAATATACCGGTATAGTGCAAATATATTTTTCATTTCATTTTGCATACAAAGTTAGATAAATGTTCTATTACGGAATAAAAATATTGTGACATTGAAGTTTACTCAATTATTTTTTAAGATCAGGATAAAAGCAGATGCATTTTGAAAATTAATCTTACAATGTTTATACAATAATTATTCAAACCGTTATAGTACTCTATTGAAACATTTCACAATTTCAGGAGATGTTTACCTAGTTGGGTGCACTAATGTTGGGAAGTCTTCTCTTTTTAACGCCTTAATACAATCGGACTACTGCAAAGTACAGGCTATTGACCTTGTACAACGAGCGACGATATCTCCATGGCCAGGAACCACTTTAAACTTGTTAAAATTCCCTATCCTCAATCCATTAGATTGGAGACTGTATAAACGAACAATGAGACTTACGTCTTTAGCAAAATTTAAACATGCAGAGGAATCTTACAGAAGATTGCAGTTCATAGAGTCAAAGAATCTAGACTACGCAACACTACAAGGTATTACATTACTGTATTAAAAATACGTTAATCATTGTTACAAAGATATTTCTTTTTTTAGGGGATGTTGGTAGAACTTTTCGGCCAAAACGTGTATTACAAAATGCAGATGCATTTGCAGTAGAACCTTATAGAGAAAATATGACCACCAGAGGTATAAATGAAAAACAGAGTATTTATGCTTTGAGTCGATGGTGTTACGACACACCAGGGACTGTTCAGCCTGATCAAGTAATACATCTATTAACAACGGACGAACTTATGCAAATGTTGCCAACTAGCATCATTTCTCCTAGAACATTCCTTCTAAAACCAGGCCAAACATTATTTCTTGCTGGGCTTGGAAGATTGGATTACGTAGATGGCGGTCCATTTATAAGGTCTGTATAGTAATCGTTATACTTTTTTGTTGTGGCTAATAACTTATATAAATTAAATATATATCTTTCTGTCTAGGTGCACAGTGTTCGCCAACAATACTCTTCCCATAAATATCTGTTACACTGCTAATGCTAATGATATTTATAAAGAATTATTACCAGTGCCTGATGCATTGGTTATTCCTATCAATGATCCCGAACGATTAAAAATCTGGCCAGACTTAGCACCCAAAGATCTCACAGTGACAGGAATAGACCTTCGAGAATCGGCTGCAGATGTATTATTGTCTAGTGCAGGTGAGAATTTTTTTCAAACCATTTATATCTTTGAATAGAAATTAAATTAAATGAGAAATTAAATTATGGATTCGATCTTTAGGCTGGATTGCTATTACACCTGATTATTCCCAACGAGTTACGTTAAAAGCGTGGACACCAGAGGGGAGAGGAATATATCTCAGATCTCCTGCGCTTCTAAGAAAATCAGTAATACTACGAGGTGCTAGAAGAAAGTCATCTCCAGTGTATAAACACGGATGGCGAGTTTATAGAAAACCATGAATAAAAATTCATCCATGAACACCATATTTTGAGGTGCCTCGAGAGCTCATTTCGTACGTAAATAATTTACTGCCTTGCGAAAAAGGTTTATACAATTCTATGACTTCGATCAGTTGGTTTATTAACATTGCCGTGAACTCCAGATATTTTACCAGAAAGGAAAATGTTATCTCGCGAATATTAACGTACAATAATTAATTCCTTTGAGGTTAAACGTCATACAGTGTCAATATTTTTAAGTACATTTAACGATTGCGATACTCTTCCGCCGTCCAAGCGTAAAGAAGATACAAATTATCATTCACAGATGACATGCAGGAGACCGTCAAAATACAAACCGAAGTTTTCTTCCCAGTCTGATCTTCAGCGGAGACAAAAAAGAATACCAGACAAATGAATCACCCTATTTGATCGATAAATATCATCACAGCTCAAGTCGTGTAGTCGATTTCCTCCGCGCGTAGCTTCGCCTGTTTGTACATCCTCTTATAAAATTTCTCTAAATTTTTATAGAACCCTTGTCTACTGCCTTGATCTTGGCTATGGCCACAGTAGAGATCGTAATCAAAATCCCTAAAATTGGGACAGCACTTGCAAAATTAATCAACCTTAATCTCGTTAAATTAATCCATTCAACTTATTGAATTTTACTTACCCTTCGCAGCTGTGTCTACTCAGATAAGCCAGTCTAGCCTTAGTTCGCTGCAGTTGTCTCATCTTTGCTTTCATGCTAGAATAATAGTAAATTTTGTTAAGGCTTAAACTCTCTAAGTAGAATTTAAATTTCTCTATACCCTTACATGGACAAGGAAGAATCCTCTCGAGGACTCGGGGCGCTGTTCGGTCGATGAGGACATATACCGGAGTCCTTTTCCGAAATCGAGTTCCGATTAACGATCGCACATCCACCAGACCTGGAGAAATTGCCTTTGCACTTGTCAACGTCGTTTCGCTCCCCGCACGCCCCGGAGAAATAATGTTTATACTTCGAGCAAACCAGACACTCGTCAAAGGCGTGAGCGGTTCGGCAAATCCCGGAGTGTTCCGATGTTCTCTGGGGCGAAGGAGGTGGACAAGTGCATTTCGATCTTTGCCTCGCAACGTGATAACACCTCTCGGGCTCGGTTTGAGCTTGGTGATTCGCCGTATAAGATGCGTAAGGTGAACAGGATTGATCGACTTCCAAGGAAACGGCTCTCTGCCGGCAACTGTCGACCGGTATGCGATAAATTGTACAATCAGTAATCATTTACTCCATGACTACCCTATTTACTCTACATTGCGAAAATACTCACGGTCGGCTGACCTGGGATTTGCTCTTCCCTTGACTGTGGCAAACTTTCCGCTGCCTGATGATCCCTTTCGCGGGTCGCTTTCTCTGCAAGCTGCACGAATTCTACAACGAAATGAATTCATATATTCATTAATTCACGTAACAAGCTGTGGATGCGAACGAATAATGAAAGTCCTGTCTTTACAGATCTAACGACGTCTTCGAGATAGACATACCTTAGAATTTATGACTTTCGGATTGACGATGCGTGATCCAGTTATGCCAATGTCGGATACTCCTACGACTTCTTCAATGACAGTACGCGTAGACACCTCAATTTTCGGAGCCAGGATGCCCTGTCAACGTAACGGACATTATTCCCATGAATGCGAATAATCAATGTCTTTGTTTCAGAGAACCTTCGTTAAAATTATGGACTAAAGGACAGTGAAATTTGAAATCACCGGGAAGTATTTGGTCGGTTCCATTAAGAGGTCCACGTCTACTCCTGCCAACAAGCCTTTGAAGCAAGGTGCCGGATACAGGACGTCGCCCAGGTTGGTCTCGAAAGTCGCCAGGATCACGGCGTGGCTCGTCGGTGCCGACCACTGGATCAGCTCGGCGTACAGGAACTCCTCTTCCAAACTGCGCTGCAATTCCGCCAGAGAGGCGACATTCGCGAAGACCTTCTTAAACGTGAACCGGTCGTGGAACAGTAACGGAAAGACAGGCGAGATCCGATGCGATTCGATGAAGGAGTCCAGGGTGTTAATCTGCAGCGCCACTTTTCCATTGGGACACAGCCAGACGCCGGGACAAGTGATCTGAAAAGATTAATATATTAAACATTCGTGTACTACAGTTTGTCCGGTTACAATTTGTAAAGTTATTCTTTCTCTCTGTAGTTGTAAATTATATCCCTTTTAGGGCGTCTATTTCGCGACTATTTTTTTCTCAGTGCGCACATTATTCGCAAAGTTTAACTTGGCGCGTCAGGACAGAAAATATCCTCTCCCTGAATTGTTTGTTCGAAAGAAAGTAATTGATGTTTTAGTTGACGTTTTAATATTACTCACGGCGTGCAGGTCGAGTTCAATCTTCACGCAGAAGCCTCTTCTCGCCATGTCTCGGGGAATGACGGTTCGCTCGCGAACTCGACGATCCACTCGCTAATTTCTCGCGAGAATTTAGAAGTAACAGCCCCATCCTCCGGTGCTGGGCCACTGGGAATTTACTCTGGTGTCCTTGCACCGGAATGCAATCCTTTTCGTTGTGCCAAATGGTACACGTCGAGGTGTCCAGGCGGCAATCCTAAGGGCCCTTGTAGCGACACGCCATTTTGACGGCTCGGGTTTAAGACCCTCGTTGCTTGGATACCAGGGTACAACAGGTCTATCGAATTTTATTTTTACACGGCCCTATAACATTACGTCCTCGACGACCTCGTTGAAGACGGCGTATAGATTTCTGCGTCGCATATCTCTTATCCACAATGAAATAATTTCGTTTAAATTCTTGATAGAAATTAGGAATTCGTATCTCGCTTTTAGCATTAACAAATATATAAATGTGTAATAAACGTATTTTAACCCCGAAAGTGAGGTATGAGTATGTGCCTTAACATTGAAGATAATATTTATTCATGTATTGGATTTATGACACGTGGTTTATTTGCAATTAAATGGATTTTACCCGGACCTCTTAAAAAACTTCAAACCCTGTATCTCCTCTGAAAAAAATCGCAGCCCCTCGTTCGAAAGGTCAATTTGAAGGGAATAAACTTTGCTATGGAGACTACGGGCGGCTTGCGCGCTTACCCCAAATGGCGGCCCGACTCAGAAATAAATTAAATTCATGAGTTAGGTCTCCATCGGGAGCAAGTGCGTGAGCCGCCTGCTTGTTCCACCGAGGGCAACACAGAACAACACGTCTCTATCTGTGACTCGGTTCGAGATCTCGTTGACTAGTCTCACGCGAAGTTTCTCACATTTTCGTTACAGTGAAAGGTACAAAATCGCAGATGCTCACTTTCAGCATTTTCATTAGATTCAAATTACAGAATCGATTCCCGGTGCGAGCACGTGCTCTTGAAGTGTACACAAAAACAGTTCGTCGATCTCATCATGGAATCGATATTCAACTTGGATTTTGATACAGCAAATATAGGTTTGCAGAATATTCATAGAAATTTATATTTTAAGCCGGTCACATTCAGTGGGTGGGTGGTTCGCTTAAATCCATGTATGTAATGACTTAAATTTAACATGTTTGCTCGTGAACATTTCTGAGTACGCTAACTAACTTTATTAGCAAATTAGTTAATTTAATTGTTACCTGTATTTTTTTTAATATGAATTTATAGAAGACCTCGTTCAAGAGTGGGTGCAACATATTTACATTAAAAATAAAGAGCAACAAGAAGCAATCAAAAATTCAAATGATTTCTACCTTCCATTCATGGGTAACTTATAATACTTCTCTGTAAATTAAGGAATGGTAACAAAAAATTATTTTTTCAACATTTTACATTTTACAGCCGTACCGATGCCCGTTGTGAAAGCAATTTTCATAATAACGTCACATTTTGAACTTGGTCCTAACGCTAGATATTTAGCAGTGTATCTGTACGACAAATTCATGCATAACCATTTCAATGAAATATACATGGCTGAAGTGGAGAATGGACTAAAGGAAATTTCATGGGTACAGACTTGCAGCAAAGTATCGAGTCAAGCAAAATTATGCCTCATGTCCTGTATACAACTTGCCAGCAAAATGGATTCGCCTTCAAAAGCTTTAGGAATCTCTCAGGTACATAAAAAATATGTAGCATATTTGGTCGATATTAAGTGTAATATGATTTATTTAAAAAACAGGTCCTGTGTATGTTACGTTGTATCGCTCCAACATGTACATACACTCATAATATGATTTTCAACTCTGAGTTCAAAGTATTCAAAACAGTAGGTTTTCAAATACCATTATTTACCCCGTTACACTATATAGAGGTTCTTCTTGCTGCTACAGACCTCACACAAACACCAGAAATATTTAATATTTCCATTCATTTATTAGATTTGGCCTTCCTGCAGGTTTGTATATTGAATTTTATAAAATATTTCATACTTAACGTAATTTAAATTATTTCTTGACTCGAAACAAAAAATTTGTTGCCAACATCATGTTTATTAAAATAAAACATATCATTGAATCGTAGATCCATTTGTATTTATAATTAACAAATAACACGGTATATGGTATTTTCAGCACGAACAACTGTACACTCACTTGCAAATGAACGTACATGGTCGGATATCAATGACTTATCTCGATAAGAAAAACTATGCAGCTTTGGAAACTAATATGCTATTTCTCAGTGCTTCGATCGTACTTGGTTCTACATTTTTTCTTTGTTTAGAAAAGAAGGCAATAAAAAATCTTGTACTGAAGCTTTCTAATTTAATCGAAATACAAGTTCAAGACATTTTGGACATGGGAAATCTATTGTTTTCAATGGTGGTTCAAGACTTTCAGCTTTGATGGTCACGTTCAACATTCATATTATAAAATATTGTCAGTATCATTAATTAGATATTTTTCCTAACATGACTGTAGGATACTGTAATTACAGTAAACACTGCACATTAAATAGTTTAACCATCGGTATTACCGAAACGACTGATACTTAAATGAACTATGGTTGAATAAGATTTATAA